TCCTCAAGGGAACATATATGAGTGATACACCAGAGAGGGGTGGCGGAGCGGAAACCAGCGGGACAAATAATTGGATGGAAGGTCCGGATCCCCCAGAAAATCCAAACACCCGACCGGCAAAAAAGCAACCAAAGGGTAAGGCGAGAGCGAAATCTGTTGGCCCGATACAAATAAAACCCCTCACTCGCCAACAAGAGCAAATCAAGGTGGCGCAAGAGAAAGAGGCTGATGCTCAAGCTAGACTGCTGGAAGAGAGGGGGGCAAATGAGAGGGCAGCAAGGAGGATTCAGGAGCTAGAGAAGATGCTGAAAGAGAGAGATGAATCAGAAGGAGGTGGGGACAAAAAGGGAGAAGATGAAGAAGGAGGTAATGAAGATGGGTGGGGAGCGTTAGAAGGTGATGGAGATGGTACTCAACAGCATCAAAGGAATGACAGAGTGTGGGGTGGCGTAGTAATCAAAGAGCGTCCTAGAACCAGTCAAGGTACGACATTCCCCCCTAACCCTCCCGTTCCCTTCTATCCCTCTTCATTCCTCTCTGCGTACCAAATTCAAATCACTTTTGGAATACTTCCATCAGTGGAAATGCCTCTCATTTGGGAGATGAATCTAAAAAGGGGTCAATGGGACTGGGAGTTAATAAATCCTCCAAAAGGAATGCCTCTGCAGAGATGAACAAAGAGCAAAGACTAACACGTTGGTGTTGATCCTCTTAGTAGAACCAGTCGTGTTGACAGCTACGGAAAGAATGGCCAAAAGGATGGATGAGGAGATCGAACTGGCTTTCCAGAACCACAATCGAGAACTGTACAATGAGTTGGTGGAGGCAAAACAAGAGTGGACAGAGTTCAAAAACAAGAAGAATTCCCGGGGTGAGACTTCTGCAACGACTACTGTAGAATCCAAGTCAAAGAAGGTACAGGTAGACTCAGGGAAATTGCCCACCCATGTGTTAACCCCCCTTTTGAGATACTGGGCGTTGGTGATGAACAACCTGAACCATTACATTCCCCTGTCCATCTTTGACCCGGTTTGGCTACGCCAAGACATGAGCATTAAAAGAATACAACGGAGAAACTCTCAACCTTGAAAGGAATCTGTGTAAAGGCTTTAACACAATATAATAATGTTAGATCTCTCGAAGAGATCAAAATAAAGAAAGCAAACCTTTAACACAATATAATAATGTTAGATCTCTCGACAGAGAGTTGACTAAGCTCAAAGATATCAAAATAAAGAAAGCAAACCTGAAAGGTTTGATAAAAAGGAAAAGAAAACTTTAGAATTCTTTTTCCCCAAACGGTGAGGTATAAATTAAACAGAAACCATCACAGACACTAACACACACCTTTAACACAATATAATAATGTTAGATCTCTCGACAGCGAGTTGACTAAGCTCAAAGAGATCAAAACAAAGAAAGCAAACCTGAAAGGTTTGATAAAAAGTAAAAGAAAACTAAGAGAGAAAAAGATACGAGATAGAGAAAAGTAAAATCAAAGTATAAATGATGTGTATAAAAGTGGATATCAGTATCTGTAGATTTTGTAACACAACATAAAGAGAAAAAGAGAACTAGTTACCTTTAGAATTCTTTTTCCCCAAACGGTGAGGAAGAAGAAAACTAAAGGGGACAAAGTAGAGCGCACATATAAGAGAAAAATGACAATAGGGAAATTCAGACGCGACTTCTTCTTCACCAACCCCTGCATCAATCCGACTCGCTAACGCACTGCACAAGCATTCCACCCCTTTGTTCAACTAGCCATATTAATGCAAGCTAAGGTTAACACAACTGACAATAACCAAGTCGTTCAACTGAAAATACCTTGATGTTACCACAACCGTCTGATCATGACGTTTGAAGGTCTTGACTAACTTATTCCAATAAGCATAATGTCAACAAAATCGTCGGAACAAGGATGGCTGGATGGTGGCGTTTAGATATGATTTGGAAATGAGACAAGCTTACATGACTTTCAAGGTTGGACCTGACAGGAAGATGGCAGATATTGGAGTGAGAGCTTTGAAGGTTCTGAAAAGAGCCGAGAGAGAGACAGCCCAAAGAAACAATGACACCTTCTTGGACAACCCTTATGCGTTTGGAGCGGTGAAGGCAATGATTGACCCGGTTGACCAAGTTAACTGGGAGGGTAGGAAGGGAACGTGGTGTGACGCAGAGAGGCTAGAGGCAATGGAGCCCAAGTTGGAAAAAGTCGAAGCAACAAAGAGTACACAATCAGTACGATAGACACTCTGGGTCCAGGCTAGACACGATCCTCACTACCG